GNGGGGNGGGGGAGGTCGGGGGGGCGAAGGCTGAAAATGCGATGAAGAGGTGGCAGTTCGCGATTGTGGAGGTCGATGGATGGAGGAGTTGAGGCTCCGTCAGGCAGGCACGAGCGTTGACGGTTGCTGTTCGGCGGCGGACTGTGATGGTACTAAGCTCGATCGGGCTTAAGGACTGATGGCCTTTGATGGTGAGGCTGAAGCTCAGACTGAGTGAGGCTGAGGTCACGCTTTTATTCATTTACAATCACTTCACTTATATCTCTTCCAGCCACTTACAGAGAAGAAGAAGTCTGTACCAGTCTACTATAATGGTAGCTGTAGACTAGGCAACAACGAGAGATTTCTTCCCCAGCAAAAGCCTCTCTCCTTTGTTTGTTTCGGCTTTCTGCATTCTATTGTTCTACTCATGGCCAAGTTCGTTCGGTCATGACTGCAGTCACATACGGGAGCCAGGGGGTGTGAAGCAAGCTGCTCCTTGATGCTCTTTGACGCTCGAGCGGCTGACAGCATCTGAAATGGCCTTATGGCCGGCTAGCTGAGTACACCTATGAAATTATTAGGTGATCGATCGTACGAGGATTGGTGAGTGGTCAATGAGCGGTTAGGAGTATCTTGAAACCCAGAAGATATAATGGATCACAATTACCTACATGAGTTTGTAAGTTCCACCTAGATCCAGGGCTGGCTCTCTGAGCTATCGGTCTCTACATAGCTTCCGCTTGCGAAGCAATCCAACGACTCTCGTCTCCTTTGGTAGAAAAGGCTACAGCCGCGAAATATAGCACTACCGATCCTCTTCCACCACGTAGCTTGATAGGACGTGGTACCTCCGAGAGCTACACACCTTTTACAGACCTTTGACAGACAGGGGCCTTGCCAGGAAATTACCTGCAAAGGGATGCCTCTCAAGGTACCTACCAGATCTTGATAGATCTACTGGCGACGTTCGCATACCAATATGGCGCTGTCCTCTGCCACAACGGGCATCTAAGATGCTAATCCGGTGACGATGGGTGACCTAGGTATCCTTCGAGCCAAGGTCAGGTGGGCATCCCGATATTCACTTTACGAGAGTCAAGTTGACAGAACCAAAGTGATGAAGCCCTCGAACATGGGTGCAGGTCGGATCTCTCAAGAAAACCTCGGATTCTCATACATAGATTTGTTCGAAAAGCCGGAGGGCAGAGATCATAACAATTCCGTAAGATGGATATATGTCTAGGGAAGAGCAGAGACGATATGACGCAGTTCGTTCGAAGTATCGTTCAATGTTGCCATCGCCAGTCACGTGTGTGAGAGTTCTGCCACGGGCTACCCCTATTATCAGGTCCGCCCGCGTTAAGTAAGCAACTTGCGGGACACTCGTTGCTCGGTGAACGGATTGCCTTGTCAATAATCCAATATTCCGACTCAGAAAGGAACAGCATCGGCTTTTCTCTGACCAAGACCCAATACGTTCGCCCATCTGCTAACCCTTAACAACTTTCATATTTTGGAAACCAGAAGCTATATTCTTGCGACAAATCGAAGAACTCGACTCCGACAAGTAAATACACCAGATCCCGATCACAACACTGCCTTTGCTGTATCTATCAGTCAAACCGAGCTGGGCAAGATGCCCTCAGCCGTTTCCGATGCACCTTCGGTCTCCATGAGCTTCGCAAACAATTTCTGGGGCAAAGATGATGCGGGAGTCGAGCCTCTGCTGTTACGCATGCAAAATGCAAAGCAAACTTGCGACGAACTCAAGTCTTTCTATCTCGGTATGTCGAACAACCACTGTGTACGAATGCCTGCTAACCCTGCCGAAGCCCGCGCAGCTCTCGAGGATGATTATGCACGCAAGCTCATCGCCCTATCACGAAAGCCATTAGGTTCTCAGGAGGCTGGAACGCTACGGGCTTCGTTGGATGTAGTGCGCGGGGAGGTTGAGCACATGGGTAAATCGCACCAAAACATTGCCAGCCAGATGAAAACAGAGCTGGAGGAGCCGCTGGCGGCATTTGCGGGTGCAATGAAAGAGCGAAGGAAGATTGTCCAGGGTGGTGTTGAGAAACTATTGAAAGTCAAGGTTCAGCAGACCAACCAAGTCAACAAGGTATGCTCTCTATGGTTGGCATAGCTTGCACGCTGACACATACAGACCAGAGACAAATACGAGCAAGAGTGCCTAAAGATCAAGGGCTACCTGGCACAAGGTCATATGGTCATGGGCCAAGAGGAGAGAAAGAACAAAGCTAAGCTGGAGAAGACACAGATAAATCTTGCGGCATCGAACACGGAGTACGAAAATGCGGTCAAGGCGCTCGAGGAGACTACTGGAAGATGGAATAGAGATTGGAAAGCCGCGGCCGATAAATTTCAAGACCTCGAGGAGGAACGACTGGACTTCATGAAGAGCAGTCTTTGGAGCTTTGCCAACATCGCTTCGACCGTCTGTGTTAGTGACGACGCTTCTTGCGAGAAAGTGCGCCTGTCACTCGAGAACTGCGAAGTTGAGAAGGATATCGCTACCTTCATCAAGGAATGTGGAACAGGCCAGGAGATCCCTGACCCTCCCAAATACATCAACTTCTGCCGCGGCGATGTCAGCGACACTGCATCTGAAGCATCCGAGGACGACCACTATTCTGTTGCTCAATTCCCACGCACTATCAACCCAGCATTCAGAAGCTCCTCGCCACAACCATCTACGTACGAATCTCACCACGATCCCCAGTCTGTTCTCGCCAAAAATCTTGCTCATGAGCCTGAGACCCCTCCCAGCCGCGAAACTACCTTGACTCCCAAAAAGGTAGTTGCGGATAGATCAAGACAAGCACATGTCGAGGATTATCAGCCACCACCTGTCAAGCAGCTTGACCACCAGCCTCCTCCCGCCAAAAAATCTCAACTTGAATACAGACAGCCTCAGGTTGAATACCATCATCCGCCTGTCAAAAAACCTCAGGTTGAGTATAGACAACCTCAAGTTGAATATCAGCCTCCGCCTGTCAAAAAAACTCAAGTTGAGTACAGACAGCCTCAAGTTGAGTACCAGGCGATCAAACAGCCTCAGGTTGAGTATCAGCCAAAACAAGCTCGTCAGCAGCAGCACCTTGAGCAGCCTCCGCCGAAACAAGCTCCTAGACAGCAACTTGAGTATCAAGCTCAGCAAAGACAAGTTCAACACGAGGCTCCGCGTCAACAAAATCAACTCACTTACGAGCAATCGCAGCATGGACCCCTCGCCGCAGTACCACATGACCCTTACCCGATGGACGGAATGACCATGCTTTGCCGCACAGCACCTCCGTCAGACAGAAGCTCTGCTCACAGTGGAGTCCGGCCATCCAGTCGCGACTCAAACAGCGAATATTCCAATCCAACTTCATTTTCAACCAACGATCCCGTTAGTGGCAAGACCTCGCCTGTCAAGCAAGTTGCACCCTCGCCTGAGAAACAGGTGATGAAGAAGAAGAGTGGATTCTTCCAAGGCCACAGCCCATTCCGACGCAAGAGCAACAAGGAGAAAGAGCAACAAGCTGTGACACCATCAAACCGAAACACGTGGTCCGCTAGATCATCAGCCACTGTACAAAGCAGCCCCTCTAGGAGACCTCAGATTTATGGTCGGGAATCGCAGAATCTGATCAGTGACAGACCTACGGCTAGTCCGGAACCCGTCGATCCCCGAGCAACCTTTGCATTGAATGTTGGGAACAATGTGTTCGATGTCACAGCCTCAGATAAGAGGAGCCAAACGTCTCCAAGCAAGCCATCGCAAGAGGAGGAGCTTGATCCAATTGCCAAAGCATTAGCCGAGTTGAAGGGGGTGACGAAAGCCTCATCAAAGCGGATCTCGGCAGATAATTACCACGGGGTTGCAACTCCACCAACTGGAGCTAGCCCCAGTAAAAGACCTATAGGATCTCAGATGACTAACGGTTCTTTGATCGCAGGTATGCGAGGAACGCCCCCTCCATCGTATGACCAGCCTGTGCAGATGCTCGGATTGCCACAGCCAGCTTTCACTTCGAAGGCCATGCAGCAAAGTCGTCAAAAGTATGTCGATCAGACCCAGACCATGTTCAGCGCATCGAGGCCTGGTTCTCAGAGTGGTTACGGGTCAGGATCGCAATCACGTCCAGGCACTCGCGGAAGTGACATGCCCCGAGCTACATCGCCAGCACCTCCACGCAGTGTTTCGCCTCGACCTCTTGTGCAAGCTGATGCAAGACAATCATACCGATCTGCTTCTCCAAATCCTTATACGGGTAGCCAACGCTCTCGTGCTCAATCCTCGACTCGCTCAACTCCCCAGAAGCATGGCTCAGACCAGTATTACAGCCACAACTCGCCGGGTGATATAGCCCGCGCTGTTTCACCAGCTCCTTTCCGCGATCAACAGCGACCTAATAGCAGTCATGTTAGCAACGATATGTCCATGCAGATGCAGCTTGCCCCTGCTCCGGATGACAGTCATGGCTCTCAATATGGGGGATCTCAGAGAGGCGGTAGAAGCGTGGGATCTGCCAATTCTAGATCGATGAGCCAGTACGGAGGTAGCCAGTACGGGGGTAGTCAGTCGAGCCAACAGATCACTCGACAGCGAAGTAAGAGTGTCGCAGATGTCAGACAGTACAATAGAGAAGGGAGACCTATTCTTCATTTCGGTACGAACTCCCAATCTATAGATCTGATGGAATACTAACCAGTCTTAGCACGTGCGATGTACATGTACCAAGCCGCCATTCCCGAGGAACTGAGCTTCGCCAAAGGAGATGTCCTGGCTGTCTTGAGACTTCAAGACGATGGATGGTGGGAGGCTGAGGTGGCAGGGAAGAATGGCAGGCCCGGTCTTGTGCCGAGCAATTATCTGCAGAACTGCTGAGCATCTTGGGATGGGAGCGAGGCAGGCAATATTTCCTTTCCTATAAGCGAGTTAGTTGGATTTGCGTCACTTAGGGCAAGGTTAAGTCTGAGATTGATAGTTTGTCAGAGTTACGAGTATTAGGATTGTATATCTGAGGAATTAGGATTTCACGAAATGACCGGAAGTATTTATGATCTATTATCGATCTGTACTGTAAATAATGAAATGTAAATTTCACCCGGTAATAGGCAGTGCGCTGATTACTATGATCATGGCTAGTAATATCTTCTTCTTATGATCCAACTCCTTGGCTGCCCATAGATGCACAAGATTCATATTTTGGTTTGTTTTGTTTTGGGCAGTCCCCTTTCTCCAGGCGAGAAAAGCATGTCATGTGATGGGCGACGTCATCCATTTCAGAACACGACCAAACGACCGAGCGACTCAGCTCTCTCTCCACGAGCATTGCGGCGCATCGACGATGGTAGAAGACGGGCACCTCTTTCTCTGCCTTTCTTTTTCTTCCACCAGAGCCTAGGTTTGGTTTTGCTGATATTGTTTAACATAATGAATACACTGCAGGACCTCATTTTCAAGCCCGTCCGCGTCGCGACGTCGAAGCCAGCGCGCCAAACCTACCTCAACTCCCTTCTCTTCCTGATCTCATCCGCAATCCTCTTTGGTGTCGCAGTCTTCGCCTACATCCTCTTCTACTACTGCTACATCCCCCAAATCGATATCGATCGTGTCATCCACCTACAATACGGGTACTTCCTCCATCCCATTCCCATTCCTTATCCCTTGTTCCTTAATCCTTATTCAACTACAAGCAAGCATCTAACATCTACCACTCCCCTCCTCAGCGATGGCCCCCACCCCTACGGCATAGCCGCCCTCTCTACCTCCCTTACATCCCAACAAGCCTACGATATAAGCCTCTCCCTGCATCTCCCGCGCTCCCCACCGAACCTCCACCGAGGCAACTTTATGCTCTCCCTCTCGCTGCTCTCTCCGTCCTACACGCCCCTCCCTTCCACCACCCCGATCGCCGGGCCTACACTCGCTCTGTCGAAAGACCACGTTCTATTCTCCTCCCGCCGTCCTGCAATCCTGACATACACTTCACGCCTGGTTTCCCTCTCAGAACGCCTGTTCTCCTTACCCCTCTATGTGCTCGGTCTGAAGCACGAGTCTGAAGTCCTGCACATCCCTATGGCGGAATCCGCCTCTTTCCTACGAGGGCGGAAGAATATCCCTGCCTTCGCGATGCTAGAGCTTCAAGCGGGGCAGGATGTCCAAGTCTACGGTGCCCGGATTACATTTAAAGCCCGCTTCGGGGGCCTGAGATGGGTGATGTACAACCACCGCATCATGTCATTCGTCGTATTTACTGCCGCTTTTTGGATATCTGAAGTCTTGTTTGCAGCTTTGGGGTGGTTGCTGGCTCGGATGGTGCTCGGAGGTAAGGACGTCAAGACGGAAGTTAAAGAGGAAGGCGATGGCAGCGCTGTGGGTGTTAAAGACGATCAAGGGGAAAGCGATGAGCCTGATCTTTCGGATACGCCGCGGACGTTCCCTACGTATGGTCGACAGGCGCCGTTAATATTTGTGCCAAAAATCAAGGACGAGCCGCCTGTTAAAGACGAGGATAGCGAGGAATTTGTTGCGATGGAGGGCACGGGGCTGGTGGAAGCGGATGACGAGGACGATGAGGCAGTTGGTGACTACAGGAGAGGAATGACCGATTCGGGAATCGGTACAAGTCTTAGTGAGGGGGGTGAGAGGGTTGGTCTGAGCAGAAGGAGGTCGAGGGGCAAGAGGAACTGAGGGGGTCGTAAATAGGTTTGTGGGATGGAGGCGTATATGATTTGATACCCCGAGTCAATTTATGGACAGTACCATTTGCTCAGTCTGCTTTTATCGTTCAAGTTGCTTACTGCAGACAGAAACGCACGCTCTTTCAAATGCGAGGGGGGTGTTCAAAGGGCTTGCTCGGATATTCTTGATTTGGCCGTCCGGATTATCTATCGTATGCTAACCATTTATGGACCACATCGATGATGTTTCTCGCCCTGAAGAATTGTCTGCGCCTCAGCCCGCCAGCAGCGCAGAGCGAAACCACCAATCAACCAACCCTATGAAACTCATCGTCAAGCGATCAAGCAAGACATCGTTGCCGCCGCCCTCCCTCACTCCCACCCACTTGCTCGCCAGAAGCTCACATATCACAATTAGCGGTCGAATCCAATGCCGTGAGATTTGACAGCGTATGCGTAAGCAAGTACCAACCAATCTCTTCACTCTGCGTAGTCAGTATTTTGTCTCGATCAGGTTGGTTGTGGTATAATGAGACCAGAGTAGAGTGACGTGTGTAGGTAATGTAATCCATCGCATGCATGCTTTGGAGAGTCGTCCACTGGAGATTGACGAGATTCTTCTTATATCTGTGGAACAAGTGGCCGGTTAATGGTCGCGGGTAGCGATTCTTCATGGCTATGTGGTTTGAAGGAGATGTGGGTATATCGTCGTGGCCTTGCGAGCAGGGATTCCGAAAGGACTCGTGATTCCAAGCCTCATGATCCGCGCGAGCAAGCAGCGCATAAGGGAAGTCAAGACCTCTGACTAGGTCGCTCGTTGTCTCACAGCCGAAAGCCTGATTGGAAATAATAACATGAAAGGTTGGAATTCCGCTCGAAACCAAAGCTCACTCGAAACGTGGTGATTTGCAATGTTCGCACTGTAGTTGCTACAATGATCGATGGCCAAGTCGAAAATGCGGCAGCAGCTCTAGTAGAAAGCAAAGCGCCCGCACCGATTCTCCGGATCGTAGACCTCTAGAGCGATACTGGCGCGATCGATGCCGGGTTTTTCTTTATGTTTGCCTGCCCCCTAGTCATCGTTCGTATGTGGAATTGGAAATGGAATGTAATGGCAGAAGGCGGGGATTGAAGATGCGACTTGGGGTTTTTCTGTTGCAAGCAGCTTTCTTTCATACGTACCCGACGTGGATCGAAGTGGACCTTGGCTGCGGCTGTGTACTTGTCCTCTTCTTCTTTTGCGGTATGGAATTTTCGATATGGGTATGCAGACTTCTGGAGCAGAGGGAAGAGGCTGGCGTGTTTCGGCGGCTGTGGATTGATCTCGCTTCTGGCGAACTTTGTTAAGCGAGAACAGCAACAGCAACAGCAACGGCAACACGAGGCCGAGTCTTCTTTTTTCGTTTGAGCTCGTTGGTTAGATCGAAGCTTTTTTTTTTCTTCTTCTTCTCGTTTGCGTGAGTGATTGTTTGTGATCTTCTGTCATTGATTCTTTCGTCTATTGCCAGGGGTTCTCTTGTTTTCTTGATCTCGTGATGAAAGTAGAGTGGTTATAATAGTCAGTGCACACTGACTATTAGGCGTAACTCAATCGATACTTGTAATAAGTGCCATAATTCGATGTCAGATTTCTGCTCTGTGATTCGTGCAGGCTTTTCTAAAAACGAATCTGATCTCCTTCCTTTGAATTGAAGTGTATAATATCCTGGGAAGATAGTCTGGGCTCGTATCGTTGGTGTTATTCGTAGAGCTTGTTTCCAGCTAGCTAGATACTGCGATCGATGTGTAGCTTCTTAGTTATGAAAGCACTGTGACAGTCGTAATGAGACACCCTTATGGCAAGAAAAATTTCCGTATCCAGAGGAACTGATATAAAAATCAGCCTTACCTGTGTCTACATTCCAGAGAGGCAACTAGTCTCCAGACCTGACATTCAAATAAGTAGAAAACCTGGGTAAATATGATCAGAGTACTGGGAGTCCAGTTGCGTAAAAAGGGGTCTCTGAGCGAGCGAGCTGTTATGGCGACGAAGATGGGGTGATGTGGGATGTGATGGTGATGGAGTATCGAAGCGTACTCAAGCCCCCGCTCGCTGTTGACTGATTGGGTTCCTTCTTTCAACCTTCTTGTTGTCTGCTTTCTCTCCATCTCGGGGCTCTGCATGTTTGTAAATGAGTTTCTCTAGGTATCTGGTTGGTACTTCCCCGGCTTCGAGATAGATGCAAACAGATGACAGCATCTATGAAGAGAGCGACAGATTTTCGCATGACAACAACTTTTCGAGAAAAAGTCGCCTTGGGAATATAGGAAATGGTGATTACTTAGTATACTGCAATAAGCGGTGCGGGCCTAAGACGCCATAAGGTTACATTAACAATGACGGGTGCGTACAGAGAAAAAAAACTACCGGAGACATCGATTGCAGTGACGGAAGAGAAATATCAGAAAGCTGCTTTTGTTCCCTCCTCCCAAATGCCTGTCTCTGGCTGTGAGTATTTATATCTAGTGCTTCTCTTTGTCCTGCTCAGTCGGACCTAAGATGAGCTCATGTGGGATATTCACTAGTCTACAGCATTCATTAGCCGCTTAGTCAAGCCTGGTAGTATTTAAGGGTGAGATCTGAGCTTTAGTCGATCTATAAGAGTACGATCCTTGAATAAGTACCTCATGCCATCTCAGATCTAAGGTTCGGCGAGTCCTCGAATAATATCCACTTGCTTCTCTTCTACGGGGTGGGATGTGTTGGAAAGGCATTTGATATATTCCGAGTGCTTTCACGGCCCTCCTCTGGCAGCACTGGGGAGATCATTGGGCGATATATGCAAGTACCTAATAGGGTACAAATATTCTCAGTAACCAAAATTCGAGACATCTGAAATGATGGTGCTTGCTTAACTGGCAGCAAGGAAAAAGATTCACAGCAGTCTTGTATACGTTATGAGTCCCGCGTTACCTTAGAGCTGTGGTTAATGATATGGGTAGCCTGTGCTAGTACCCAGATATTTGTGAAGCTGATGAGGATCAGCTTGTGTTTCTGGAGGCTTTGCGTTGCAGACGACGGGAGTGAGGCATTCTTGCTATTTGATAGCGCCACCTTCATTGTGACCTAGAGGAACTGTAGTACTTATAGAAGTGATATCTTGGTTATGGTTGAACTTTTTCGCAAATAGTAGCATATGTTGGGCTGTGAGGAAGATAGTGTGATTGCATCAACTACCAGCCCTTCACCTTCTTCTTGTGCTTAGAGCTATCCAAGAGAGAATGTATGCTCGTTAGGCCACTGAGCTAAGAGCTTTCAATATGATCATCAAATACATGAAAGGAGAAAGGAACAAAGTAGCCGATGCACCGTCTAGGAAAGTAAACATCAGCGAAGACTACCTCAACCACAAACAAGACCACACTATAGGTCTATTTGCTACGAAGACCAGGAACAGTATGAGCTTGGAAGAACGGAGAGGTTGGAGATGAAAGACTGCTGGATAATGTTGGAGATCTATTTCATTAAGCTGAATTGCAGAAGAATGAGACGATTACGGAAGCGCAGCGTAGAGATGACAGCAACTTCTAAAAGGATAGCAAACGAGACAATCACAACAACAGCGCTCAGCATCGTGTCCTTATCAGAGTCCGTCTGTACCAGTAAAGAAATCGTACACTTGCTGCGGCTATTGAACAGTTCACAGAGAGTAATGCGCAAGAACAGCGGGTGCACACTCGTAGTAATACACCTGAAGAACTTCCTCAAAATCATCATCCACTCCCATAATTTTCCGTGCTCGATTCAAGATATCTCAATTGCAACACTTGCACATGAACGTGCAAGCTTCCTTCCTGTATTTGTGCCTTTTGAAACGTTGATGCTCTTAGTCTGAAGTGAGCCTGTGCAAGCCTCGCTTTCGGGCTCTGGGCCGATCCTGCTCCGAGAAGTGTGGCCTTTCAATCCACTTGCCCCTGGATTTCCACGGAAACGATCGTAGTGGGATGCGTACAATAGTATCCAATACCTGGGTACTTTGCGATGCACCATCTGAGGTATTTGTAGGCCGACTGACGTATCGTTCACCATCAACGTTACGATGCAGCCTTTTCTACCCGGGATGTTTGCCGGAACTTGACCGGACAGATGATGGTTTTCTGTATATATTGCTCTCTGATTCGCCTGCCTAGGCTTGGTGCAGAGACGACATATATCTTTGCAACATCGCTCCGAAGTCCGCTCGAATTTCTCGCTCATGTAGCTACTGAACCAGACTCGATATGTCTGTGGGATGTCATTTCTTCAGGAGGCCTTACTGCTATTCCGAAAGGTACTTGACGCCTGAAAGGGATGGGTGTAGAATCTCTACGCATTGGATAGTGGAGGAACTAATGGCAATATTCTGCTAATGCAACACAGTCGAGTATGGCGACTTTTTAAAGCTGCATTTCTGTTTGAAGATTCGACATACGTACTTAGCCATTGTGTTCTTCGATGAGCTCAAAGTATCAGTTTCCAAGACCTTCGTCGACCAAGTATACATGAAGTCGTCAACCAGCTCATTCACCTTATCTTTTGAGTCATACTTATCCTTATTTCCGAAGTTCGAAGAGCAGGTCACACAATAGCTTAGTAAAGCCGTTCGCGATATCGGACATAAAAGATGTTCACACATCTCACAGATGCGATCATGGGTCACATGGGCATATTCCGTGTTTACTCACGCAAGCTTCGCATAACTGGTTTCAAGATTTGATAACGCGCGTAAGTACCTCAACTCATATGAAGGCTTAGCTGATAGGTTACAGTAGGATACTCATGTTTGTGAAATGACAGTAATTTCTGGAATGATAACAGAGTCGAGTGCGGCGAAAAGGCTTGCAAGAAAGGTAAGTTCCTGGAGATCCCATAGCCGAAAACGCTTGCAGGTAAGTTAAGTCCCTGGAGACCTCCTAGTCACGACACATGCTACCGCTACTAAGCAACAGAACCGGATGTCCGCAAAGCAGGAGTCGCGATCTCTAAACCATGCCAGCTCTACGCTTTTTCTCGTTGGGTGAGAGGAAAAGACCGGGTGGTGTCTTTTATGGATGCTTTTCAGTGCTGGCTACCTCTCTTTCCCTCAGAATCCACCCAGGGCCTGCGGATCTGGGGAAAAAGCCGGGATATCTCTCCCAATTCGGGAATCTACCTGGGTATGTCCGTACGCGGATGTGGTGTCTATGCGAATTTCTAAAGAACGAGAGTATGGACTAGGTGGTTGGGGAGGTATATAAAAACTTCATTCATACCTTCGTCTGCCATATTTGCTCTACCAGATGTCCAGCTGGCCTTTGAGATGAAATCCTATGCTCACGCTCTCAATGAAAATACTCCACGACAACCGCCTCGCTTCAAGGTCACTCACTTGACGAAATTTTGAATAGTGACCCACAAGTCGATAATTTCGACATCATCACTTGTAACGACAGCAGAATCAAACCGCCACAGCCGTCCACCTATTGCGGAAGATTGAGGCTAGACATCAATTCCAGATTCTATATTTTGCACCCCGTGAACTAATACGGACAGCAACAAGCAACATGCAAAACAGCCCAGTGCTTCTCCGCGAACATCCCCCATATCACAATACCGCTTTTCACCTACCTCATGCACGCCTTCTTTCTGAGTCTTGCGTCCGCTGTGGACTTCATTCAAAGCCCTACAGATGGGATACTTATGCCTCGTACCCGGGCCCGCATCGGCCGTCGACTACTCCCCCCTTTTGCAGCGCCTGCAATATAATCCGCACAGCCGAGGGACAGAAGTGGAAAACGGCCTCACGGACACGGTTCGGGTTCCTTCGAGTATATAACGATGCCGTCCGGGCTACGTGACTGCACCCGCGACCTTCCAATCGCACATAGACAGGTCTCTGGGAGAGATGGCAGACATGTTCTCACCCCTCCTGCTGCTCCCGGGGGTCTGGGTTCTGATCAGGTAAAGCAGCATGAACATCCCGCGGTAAGAACATCCACCCACGTACAAGCATGAGAACAGCGGCAGCCTGAAGCAGATCAGAGAAGCGGAACGGGGGAAGCGAGTTCTCCTGTTTCGACGACGGCAGGAATCCACATGCCAGCTCACGGGAGCGGGGAGGAAGAGGTGGAATGGGAGCAGGAGCTGGCGGTGGATCACGATGGGACCTGGGAGGTTCTCGATGCTCACGTCGGACCTGGTTTCTGAAGATGAGAGAAGCGCAGTCGCTAGAGACGGCCAGAAGAAAAGCAGTGTCAGGGAGCCTCCTCCCGTTCCACCCTGTTCCTTTCCTTTTCCTTTTTCCGTTGCGGCTGATCGAGCAGCTACCAGGCCATCTAGACACCCTTTGTAGCCCTTCCCCCCCCCCCCCCAAAAAAAAACGAAAAAAAAAAAGATGAAATTTCCAAGAGACCCTCTCGACGTCTAGCAATCACTTCACCATTTGAGATTTGCGCGCCAGATCATCCGGCAGAGGGACTGACCTAGCTACCTCAGTGATCACTCCCATTTTCGGAAACAAAGCTACCGGTATCCTTGCTACAATCTCCCTCTGCCCAGTTCCCATCCTGTTATCCACCAGCTCACCATTTCCATTTCCAACTTCGAAAACCCAAAACCCAAAACCCAAAGCCCAAAGCTCCTCGCTCCTTTATTCGCAGCTGAAAGACTTCCTACCCGGGATGGACGAAACACACGTACATACACATATATACATTTATCGTTCCTCCTGTCACAAGTATCAAGTCACAACAAAGGGGAACTCAATTGTAGAGAACGACTCTTTATATTTGGTAGGGACGCTTTGGGCTAAGCTTGCTAAGCGTTTTCTTTGATCTGGCTAGCTTGCTGGGCCAAAATAGCCTATTCGCCTTGAATAAGCTAGCTCTGAGAGAGAACCAGTAGAAAATCAAGGCCAAGCTTCGCCCTTAGCTACGCACTTTGACCTTAAAGTTAAGAGCAAAACTAACTAACAAACAAAAACTAACTAAACAAAAAGAATAAAGGACGGCGGGTAAGTTCGAAAAAAATCTTTGTTGTTAAGGTTTGATGACTTGCGGAAAAGAAGGTGGAATAAAAGAAGTTCCAGCTTAATGTAAAGGAATCGAAGGATTCGCTTAGCTTTATTATTCACTTATAAACTTATCTATTTTATCGTTCTTTTTATCACAAGTATTAAGTCACAACAAAAGAGAACTTAATTGTAGAGAACGACTTTTTATATTTAATAAAGACGCTTTAAGCTAAGCTTGCTAAGCGTTTTCTTTGATCTAGCTAGCTTGCTGGGCTAAAATAGCTTATTCGCTTTAAATAAGCTAGCTTTAAAAAAGAACTAGTAGAAAATCAAGGCTAAGCTTCGCTTTCACTTAGAAGCAGTAGTAGCGCGAGCAGCGCTGCCGCGCTAGCTGTCTTTAAATAAAGAGTGTTGTGATGAATATCGGTTATAAGTAGTTTGCAAACACTTTGATAATCGAAGCTGATCTGCTAATAAAGAAGCGATGGTTTAAGATTAGCTTATAGCGTAAGCTAATATAGAAGTAGCTTTTGAAAGCGTTTAAGGACTATCTTTTTAACCGCTAGATATCGTATTCTATTATCTCGTTGTTTGCAGCGTGCTATGCCGCGCTTCGGCGAAGGCTATAGCTCGAATAAAGCTATTAATTCGAGACCTTCGCGCGTCGGAGCTTTTAGCGCATGTTATTGATATACTTCGCTCTATTTAAAGTTCTTAAAGAAGTTCGAAACAAAAGAGACTTTATTAGCCGAAGGTCGAAGACGAACAAAGCTTTTAAAGCCGTCACAAGACAAGTGTGGTCGTTCGTTTGCGCTAAAACTATTTTTACACTTGTGTAGTCGGTGTCGGATTTGCTGCTTCGAAAGTGAAGGATCACGTGCTCTTCTTTAAATGTGATATCGCGGCGCTAAAGCTTAGTAGCTTCAAAAACCTCCGTGTTCGTAAAGTCTGCTGCTTCGCAAGTGACCTCTTTAATGCGTAAAAAGCTTGCGAACGCTACTTTTAAAGCTGTGTCGTAATTTAGCTGATCGAAAACTTTATTAGTAAAAGAAGTTTCAAGATCTTTTTACTTATTTTCGTTAAATTAAGAAGAAGGTGCAAGCGATATAATAGCCTTAAGCTGCTTTAAAAAGAAAAGTAAAGCTTTTTTTTTAATCTCTTTGCTTTGCAGCAATGAGATCTTAGCGAGTACTTTGCGCAAGTAATCGGTGTTAAAACCGTCGATAAAAAGGTAACGTTCGACGTAAGCTGACTTCACGGTAGCTAGAGCTCTTTTAATAGATTTTAGCTTAAGTGGCCCTTGACCGATAGAACCGAACGCTCGGGTTGCGATCCATTTAGCTAAGTCGTAGTCTTTTGCTCTACCTTTAAGATACTTATCGATTCTTAAAGTAGCAAGAGCGAAGTTTTCTTAAGAACGTTGATAAGATTTATAAGTGTTTTTAATATTAAAAGCGACCTCGTAATATAAAAACTTCTTTACAAGCTTCGAAGCGCTTACTTTACAAACAAATTCGGCCGAAGGCTTAGCGTATAAGATAAAGTAAAAAGCTATTAAGGATATGCGTTAATAACATAATCTACGTTATTGCGGGAAAGAGCGTCGGTTAGCTCGTTATTAATTCTTAGCAAGTAGATTACTTCGATAAGCAAGTCTAATTGCGCGGCCGCGAGCAAGAGGTTCCGCAAGAGCTCGTTTTGCTCGGAGGATTTGAGTATAAGTGTGACGAACTGATGAATTCTGACCTTAGAATACAAAGTGAGGAGAGGAAACAGGAAGCTCGGGGAGCTCAGGAAGGTCTATATACATGGCCACAAGCGCTAGGCCTGGATGGGTGATCAGCTGACTGCAGGTAACGAGGCAGGCTGTCACACTACCCCCTTAGAGAGCGGTCCCAGCTCTCTCAAAAAGTACCTGACAGAGGAAGGAAAAAAATTCAGTCGTGAACTATGGTTCACGGGTGGAATTGCTGAAAAAAAATCAAAAAAAAAAAATACGCCGAGGCTACAGATCGCGATAATCGTCAGGGTCAGCGTCGTAGCCTCCAGAAGCGTTCCATTCCGCCAAAATTTCCTCCCTTTCGTCCGAGTCAAACTCGCTTAAACCCTCATTTTCCCTGACGGGTCGGTCCGAAAAAGGGTCCCAAAGAACTCGCTTCTTTGTCAAGGGCTTAGCTGGAAGGAGGATATAGCTAGCTATCCAGTAGTCGATTGCACCGCAACGGGTACAGCGATTTGATTTGCGCTAAGTTTCGCGCTGATCGAGAGTGCTGTGAAGAGCATGCTAGAGAGTGGGGTATCGGTCTTCCAACTGCTGAGTTTGGTTAGCCTCGTGAGCGTCGATAAGCTCTATAGCGCCGAGCTCGTTGGCGTGCTGCAATTGCTCGAGTTGTTGAGCGCGGTCGACTGCTGAAAGGTCTATTGGGTCGCCGGGAGGAGGGCCCGTTGACGTGCGAGGGCGGTTCTGAAGGGCCGATGGAGCCGGAGGTCGAGAGAATCCGTGGGACGGGCCGGAAGGGCCGGAAGAGCCGGAAGAGCGTCCAAGCTGCTGAGTGACGTGCACGTATTCGGTATACGTGGTTGGGAGAGTCAATTAGCTATTCAAACGGGTCCGTATAGTTGAGTTCAGACTATTGCGGAACGCAATAATCTTATTAGCGTCGGGCCAGGTCTGACAGCGAGCAGCGTGCAAAAGTCGTTCGAAGCGTGAGACGTAGATATGGAAGGCGTCCGTACCTTGCTTGCAAGCAAGCAGCTTATCCTTAGCCTTTTGAATTTTGTTTGGATTGTCGTAGGCGAGAGCGAGCTGATCTAAAAGAGTATTGTAGTCCCAATTGCCGGAGTCTTGAGCTGAGGCTAATTGAGTCAAAACCATTGCTTAGGGACCGGGTTCCATATTAAAGTAAACGTAGTAGAACTGCGCAGTAGGTCCGCTAAGAGCCTCACCGTCGACGAGAAGCTTAGCCTTAATTAAAGGGAGCCAGGTATCTTACCGCTGAACTGTACCGTTGAACTTATCGGGATCCGGAAGGACGCATTTGCGCTAGCGAAGGGCTATTCGTAATTGCTTTACGAAAGACTCTAATTAAGCGATTCTCGTAAGGGGGGAAGGGCCGTCGTCTTCGTGGGAGGACATGGTGGTGGAATGAAGAGGGAAGGGGGGCGTTTGAGTGTCGGAAACGCCAAGAAAAAGAGTGGGGAAGAGAGTTCGTCTTGCAACCGAAGTGCAAAAAGTTGAGGAAGGGAGCTCTTTTAGGTCGAAAGAGCTGAAGAAAAGGTGAGGTCGTAAAAGAGACAATAATCTGTAAGCAATAAATGAAGACCGTGGAGCACCCAATAAGTAACTCACTCCGTTCTTAACAATAATCAATAAGCCGTAATCTGTAAGCAATAATCAATAAGCTGTAATACGACGACCTAATCGAAGGACTTTGTATAATGTGACGAACTGATGAATTCTGACCTTAGAATACAAAGTAAAG